AAGTGCATCCACGGGCCCCTGCATCCATGTCTCCCGGGCTGTCAGTTCCCCTCCCGAGAACCCCTCCCCAGCCTGTTCTCTGCCGGCTTCTTTCCCACAGTCAGGAGTGGCTGCCCTTGAAGTGCTTTGATCCAGCGCTGGCTTGGGCTGGCTCACTGGGAGGGTTTGGGCAACTGGGGCCTCACTAGTCTCAACTTCAATATCAGAGTGAGAACTCTGAGCCACTGCTGGGTCAGCTGTCCACTTCCCCTCCTCGAAGTCTAAGCCACCATTCCCACCAGAGCCCTCCATCTCTCATGTGCGCCTGGGAATCTCATCCAAGCTCACATGCACGACATGGATATGGATCACCAACATATTTAACAGCAAGATGTACAAGGCAGTCCCAGAGTTACACATGCCCAAGTTACAAACAACCCATACTTACGAACAGACTGCCATAAAGCCTATTAAATTTTTAAAATTTAATTTTTTGGAAAATTGTCATTACCATGGAAAGGAAGTGAAAGGAGAGAGAAGGAGACCTCTGAAGCATGCCTTCCCCACCCTTCCAGAAAGGGAAATCTCTCTAGCATCTCCTTGCTGCAAAGAGAAGCCACTGGTGAGTTTGGGTGGTTGGGGGGGTCTAAAGATATTTGCAGTTTTTCCACTTTCATGGGGGCCCTGTGCCTAACTCCTGAGAATGTGAAGGGCCGACTATACATGACCCGATTTACATACAAATTCAACTCAAAGCCGAATTTCTGTCTTCTCAGAAATAGAACTTGTTTGTAACCCAGGAACTGCGTGAGCAGGAGGTGGTTAGCCTACTTCAGCCCTATCGTTTTACAAATGAAAAAACTGTAATTATAATGTATATATCTGGAAACACAAGATGTAGTATATGCTTGTTTAAAGCATATTTTGGTATATTTTTAATTTATTTTATTGTGTTTGTAAAATTGTTTGCTGCTTTGAGACTTTTACTGAGGAGTGGGGCACAAGACTCTAAAATAAATAAAGATGTGAATGAAGATGTATGTACTAAGTATATATAAAGATATGCATAAAGGTAGAATCTAAAAGCACCTACTTTACTGGATTTATCCAGTGGAGCTCTAAAGAAGCCTGCTGTTCAAGAGAAGAAGGGGAAGTAACAACATATGAATGGGCTGCCATAACTCCTAGATTCCAAATATATCAGATAAAAGCTAGTCCTCTTTTGAGGAGAGGAATGGGAAATATTTGAATTAGAACCACTTTCTGTGAAATGGACTCATAGTAGCTGAGCTATCTCCTTTTATAAGTCCATAACAAGACAGAAGCTTCTTGGATTTTTCACACTGAAGGCCTGTACACTAGACTGGAAAATGTGAGACCTGAACAAAACATGCCCATGTCCAAGGTCAGCCCATGGAGATTCTCAGGCTGCCGTTTTCAACCTGACACAATCCATAGCATTTAGCATTTCTCAGTGCAGAAAGTAGTATGCATCACCGGGCCTCTCTCTGCACAGAGAAAGGGACTCAACAATGCTTGGAAGAGTTCCTCCTAGTGCTGGCAAAGTCCCTTGCCTTCATGGGCTTCTCAAAGTCCCCAGCAGGTGTTTGTAAGTGACCTCAGAGGAGGAGCTTCAAGGTAGTCCCACCACCTGAGGTCATTCAGCCAATCAGATTGGGCTGGGTTAACAATCTGGCCTTGGGATTATAAATGGTCTTCCCTCCCCTGTTACACAGCCTATGATGGTCCCACAATCACTACTATTTGCACTGTGGGGTGAGCAAGCATGGAACAAAGTTATGCATGGATTTGAAATACAGGGATTGGTGTACACAACACATGTGTTCAAAGCTGTCATCTGGACACACTCCTGGCTAGTTTCCCTGTGATCTGCCACTCTGCAGAGTAATATAGGCACCATGATATTGTCTTGTGACATTATCACAATACAAGTTAGATGTGAGGGCTCTAGAGAAACTCAGTCTAAGACATTGATTGTCCACAAAAGCCAACAAGACCCAAAGATATCATCACCTATACCAGGCTGAGAGACTAGAAAGGCGCCACTGCAGAAAATTTCTTTTCTCAGATTCTTTTAGAAGTGGCAAATTCTATCAAGGAAAGCACAGCTATGGGATCTCAAGAAACAGACACAAGGCTGGTTGTGGGTGAGAGTGCTTTCATAATGCTTGACTGCAGAAACCCCTTCAGAGAATAATATCTGACCTTCTGTGCCATGGATCTGACCATCCACGGCTGCCCCGCCTCTCGCCAGACTGCACAGTCGTTTCCTTTGCTTTCAGGGAGACTGCAGCTGCACAGTACAAAAGATTGGCTGCTCCGGGAGACAAAGTCAGCATAGGACCTTTTGTTACAGCAACACTCCTCACTCTCCAGTCCCATACGTGATGTATGTAGGGTGGGGGAAGGGACACAGACAAAGAATCTACAAAGAGGCATCAAGCCTTGTTGCTTTACACCACATGGATCCCCCTGTTAACATTCACCAAGCAACAGTCCTTTCTGTAACACAGAACAATCCAAGCAGAATCAGAGGGAAGCAAAAGAAATGAAACACAACAGGAGCCCTTGTTTTATATGCTTGGCCACCAGCTTAGTGTGTGTGTGTGTGTGTGTGTGTGTGTGCGCGCGCGCGCGCGTGCCGGGGTGGGGGTGTTAGTTGATACTGAAGTCCCACAGACCGGCTGCTTCTGAACTTCAGCTGCAGAATTTGGCTTGTGTGTGTCAGCTGGCGTGAAATCAGCCAGTGGGATTCAGTGTCAGTGGTGAAGGGGCAGGTGTCCTCAAAACAAAGACTGCAGAAGAATTGGAGGCTTTGGTGAGGTCCCATTGTGAGAGCTTAGATAGGGTGTGGGTTCAAAAGTGTGTTTTCCCCATGCCCTGCAGCAAAAATGCAACCTATGTGGAGACAGTAAGGAAGGACAGACATCACAGAAGCAATGTGAGTCTGTTTGCATGGTTTTTTGCCCATGAACTAGAGAGCTCAGTAACTCATGTTAATAAAAAGCACTTACAATTACATGAAGTTATGGATATCTAGTGCTTCACTCACCTGTATTTGCATTGCACACAGCTCTCTGCTATATTTAAGTAAGACTTGTTTTAACACCTCTGTATCTAGCACTGGTTATGTTGACAGCTGTAGAAAATGTGGCTGTTATTTCCAACCCTTGACACTTGGGGAACTATCTGCTGATTATACTGTTGATTAATATTTCACAGCATTGGGAAGTTTTTCTGTACTGGACTATGGGTTATGCATTTTACCAAATAATTGGGCTGCTTTTATTTAACTGATCCCCTCTGGGATGCACACATTAAAATGATGAGTGGGTTTGAGAGTGTCAGAGAAGCTAAGAGCAATGCCACCAGGAAACCAAACTGTTTCACTGGACTGGTCTCTTAGCAGGGTCACCCAATGTGGAATGATTGGAATGATGTGGAAGAGAAAGACACCAGACTAGGAGGCATTCATCCTTTTCAGGAAGAATGGTCACATCAGCAGAAGAGAAGGGATCTCTCTAACAGTGATGATGGCAGAGTAATTCCCGAAGGACAGCTACTGGGCAGTAGTGGTAGCAGAAGGTGACACTGGCAGATGATCTTTCACAGACAACAGCAGTGACACTCAAGCTAGCTCTGATTATTCCTGTGCAGAAGAAGGCAATGGCAAACCACTTCTGAATTTTAGAACCATAGAATAGTAGAGTTGGAAGAGGCCATGAAGGCCATCGGGTCCAGCACCCTGCTGTTGCAGGACATCAGATTACACCATCCCACTCAGATGGCTGTCCAGTTTCTTTTTGAATGCCTCTAGTGTGGGAGAGCCCATGACCTGTCTGGGCAACTGGTTCCACTGTCATATTGCTCTGACATATTCTTACATTAAAAACCCTATGATGAAACAATCTAATATGAAACAAGTGATAATGCCAGAAGAGGAGTCCCCCAGGCCACAGGGCACTCAACCAGCTGTTGGAGAAGAACAAAGGAAAAGTAGTGTTGTTGCTAATGACACAACTTGTCATTAGCCAAAAGGAAATCTGCACAGAGGTGGAGGAAAGGTCTGATGCTGCACAACACATACAGTTGGAACATGAGAGGTATAAACCAAGGCAAACTGGAAACCGTAAAGCAGGAAATGAAATGATTAAACACTGTAGTACTTGCTATGAGCAAACTAATGGAACATTTTCAGTCCGACACGCACAAAATGTTTTACTTTGGAATGACAAACTCAGAAAAAATGGGGTAGCTCTAATAGGAGGGGCAAAGTATAGCATGCACACTAAGGGCTATAATGCAAAATGTTTTCATTATTGGTACTGCCCATGTTGTAATGATCTGGAAATGTTTTAGTATCACTGAAATGATTTATTTGGATTGCTATATTATGCTTTAAAGGAATTGGTGCTAGAATGTTTACTATAATGATGCCTTGATATAGGCTCCTCTGTGCTTGTTCTTGTACTGAAAACAGCTCATAATACATCTGTGTGGGATAGTATCATGCAATTAATTACAATAATAATAAAATGAAAATGAATAATTGCCCAGCTGCAAAAGTTAAAAAACCTTTTTCTAGCTCATTTGCAACCTGTCTCTACACTATTAATTTTCCACCTGCCTGGTCTCATTGATGCAATTCTTATTTATCACAGTCAATCAGGAAAGTGGCAATTTCTAAGCTTGCTGGGACTAGTCTTTCCTCACCTATCCCTCAGTATTCTTTCTAGTAGGAGGCAGTCCCTCATTATACACTCACATATCCCACATGCCGCACTGACTGGCTCTACAGCTTCTCCCTAGTCCTGTGCAAATTAATTCCATGTCTTTTATGTGGGGTGGGTGTCATCGGAAGCAGTCTGCCAGAAAGGGAATTTGCAGGAAATTATACAGCTGGTGACATTCAGTGGCTGCCAGGAAAGGTCGCCTCTGGACAGGGGCTCTCTGACTGACTGACAGACAGACAGGGCAGGGTGTGGAGTGGTGCAACTCACCTGGAAGGCCTCACAGGCTTGTTCTACATTCAGTGTATTTTTGATGAATTCAGCACATAGCTAGAATAAAAGAGAAAGAGCCCTGAATACACTTGTAGCAGCCCGACATTGAAGATCCACAGAATTTCCAGGGATATCATCTCTCCAATCTCGAATGAAAGATGCAAATTCCTGCTCTGAAATCTAATCTCTGAATTCTGTTACTGTTCAATGAAGTTTTCAGGCAATATTCTTGCTAAATGAGTGCTACTTCACCTATTACCAAAGAGGGGATTGACTAAAACAACAACCTTCTTCCCTGTCTTAAAAGCTCATTCACAGCCATACCCCAGCTCCTGCCATACAGTAATATTGATGGTCTCTTAAGTCTTTTTCCTTGGCCTCCAATATAAAAAAGACAAACGAGCTGTGCAGTTTCCCTTCAACTTGCCACATTTTGTACAGCATAGACTTGTAAGTGTATTAAGCAGAACTTCAAGCTGGTCTTGCTAAGTTTAGCTGGGGGGTGTGGAAAGAGCCCTTTTTGTGTGCAGAAGGGAGGAAGGAGCAGACTGACTGAACCATAAAAAAGAGGCTATGAAAAAACTTGTGCTTCCTGCTGCCTTGGCAATCGGTCTCACCAAACTGGCACAGCCAGAGGGAATCTGAAGTTCCAGCGTGGAGTGTGAGCACAACCCTGGCTTAGGGAATGCTATGTCTGTTATTTCCCCAATTCTACCTTGACAGCTGCTGTAGCAAAACTGGAATATTGTCAGGAAGTCTGGAAAAGGAACATAGGATGGAAGTTCAGGTACAGCCTAACAAGTAAGTAAAGTAAAAAGAAAAGAGCAATTATTTAAAAAAACCAATAGGTGATAGGTAAAAAAAATAAAATCGTAACAGTGATAACTGCAGATAATTATATACTATTGCACAGATTGCTGCACTGACAAATCCAAAGGAAAGCTTTGAATTTCAGCTGTTAACAAAGGTGACAAGAAGGGAATATATAAAGTCAGCCAAAGGGGAGTGACAAAGGGAAAAGGTCACACTCTCTGTGATATGGACATTCAGCTCAAAATAACTCCTATTGTGAGTTGCAGCTGAACAGCACCAATGGATTAAGGGCTTCTCTACATGAGGCATTTATTGTGTGCTTGTGATCCCTCACTTACAGAAGTTTGCAGGGTCTTTTCATGCTATCCTTGTCCTCCAGGGTCTCTCCTGAATGTTCAAGCTTTTTTCATGGGCTTTTTTAGAGGAAGGAAAATCTTGTATTAAATTTTAAAGTGCAACAAAGACAGTTTTTGCTGATGGGTGGGTGGTATTGAAAGTAATTAAATAATTATTAAAAATGTCAGAACAAATGCCTGGTGAAAAGACAAAAATCTGCTATATCGTGGTTCCACCACTGCACCACCTTGTGCTTGGTTAACAGAAAGGCAGAGAAGTACAAAACCCTGGAAAAATCCTCTGCAAGGAAGCATTTTTCCTGCAAAACAAAAATGGAAGCCTTTGTACATCAGTGGATTAAACCCCTTGTATAGAGAAACCCTTCAGCACACATAATGTTCTGCAAAATATCATTTCTGTGTTTTGACCAGAAGTAAACACCCAGTCTCACACAGACCACCAGAGTGTCCTATCAGCGTGAGCAGAAAAAAACTGTACACTGCGGGCTAAGAGGGCAAGAGCATTTCATGTTTAAAGAAACCAAACAGAACCAAACAACAGCATTCTTCAATAAGGCAGATACTTGTGTTAATTCTATTTTCTTACAAATATAATCCTGCACAATTTTAAAATTTGAAGATATAAAATTCAGTCTAAGACTAAGCAGGGAAATCAGCTAGGAGCACTGTATGGGAGACGTCAGAGTTAGAGCCTGCCTTCAGTGCTACGGAATGCATGTTCTACTGAACGTATGCCTAGCACACTCCCATCAACCTAGCACCCCCAGATGTGTTAGACTACAATGGCCTTCATCTCTAGCCAGCAAGATTCATCTGGAGGGCACCAGATCAGAGAAGGCTGTCCTACAGTGCTGCTAGATGCTGCACAGAAACAGGTTATTGCACAAATGCTAAGGACGAAGATAGGAGAATGCATATGCTATTCCATTTTAATTTGCTCCACTGCTTGAGTATGTTTTTTCTTGTCTTCTTTGCGTTCTTAGTCTTATCTATTGCAAAATTCAAAGGTGGGGAACAAAGCAATAAGTCAGGACAGTTGAAGACACAGCTGATCAAGCTAGTAGGTGCGCTATTTGGATGGTGTCTTAGATTCAACCTTGCCACGGACTTGCTAGAAGTTCTAGAACTGAACCTTGGACTAGGGTGTCTGGATATAATACATATGAAAGAAAGCACTCAATGAAGTCCAGCAGTTCAAACAAAAACCAGCATAGAAGCTTGTGAGAGGGAAGAACTCTAGTGCATAGATTCAGTGCATTTGTGTTTCTCCCAACAAGTCATACTCAACTTTTGAACAGCCAGCACTGATCTCAGTCTCTGCAGTGTATGAGACTGAGTAGTGGAACTAAAGTCAAAATCCAGTTCTTCACATGATGCTGAGTAGCAGAACTACTCGAACTGGCATCCCAGTAATGAATAATGTTTATACGAGTTAATACCTTCCGTTCATGTAATAGTCTATCCCAGAATGCCTGTCTGGAGTGCCCCAGTGACAACTGTATTGCTTCAAATCCACAGTCATTGAGAACTAATATCTCAGCTAGCCACTCTACAGTAAATAAATATTAGGTGGAGGGACAGAGGAAACTACTGCTTCCCATGATCCTAATTTTGTAATATTATGCATTTATTTATTTATAATCTGCCCAATATCTAATGTCCTATATATTAATTAACTTACTAATTTTATGTAAAGAATTAGTTTTCTACAGAGAGGACAGATAATTCCTTTCAGCAGCACTGCATACTTCTTACAGGCTGCTGCCCTCTCTGAGACAAGCTTGAGTGTGCAGGGGAAAAGTTCTACAATTGCCAGCTGGCTACAGAATGCAGGCAGTTGTAGGCCTTTTTTTCCTTTTAAGCAGGCATAGGATTGCACCTGAAATTGCTCCTTTCCCATTTTTATAATGTGCCAAGGGCTCTGAGGTAGGAATCCTGGCAACTAGATTCTAGAGCTTGTTCATTACATCACTGAAGACGTTTTTGGTCCATGACTGAATATTACAAATTGTACTAGGTATACCTTCTAATACTGACAATAGGTAATATCTAACATAGAGTATACTACCAACACACAAGGCACCGATTAAAACGAATGAGACTTAAAAGCAGTCATGTCTAACTTAAGATCAATTGATTTCAATGGGTCTATTCTACATAAGACTAACATTAGATACTACCTAATGAATTTAGAACATTAGCAGTAGCACCTGAAGCTCATTAAATTGGAATTCAATGCCTATTTATGAAATTGGTGTAAAACTGTGAAAGCAATGTGAGTTTATTCTTAGTTGTCTGAGGAAAGCCAAAAAAACAAAAACAAAAAGCCCCACAATCCTCTTCAAGCAAGTTCATTTTTCTCTCTATATAGATACTATGAAGTGACTTTCTCAGGGTTCAAGCAGGAGTTGGTAGCTTGCTTGCAGAACCTAGTCAGGCAAGCTGTTCTGCCTAGAAAAGGTACCCCAGACCAGAAGCCTGCTCCCCTGACAGAGAAAGCAACAAGCTCCCCTCTCATTTCTGGAGGAAGTCAGTGGCTTGCACTCTCTCACCTCTTGAGTAATGCAGTTGAAACTTTCTACAGAAATTCATTTCACAGGCCTTTCCAACCCACTTGCAGTTTCTTTGATTGCAAAGCTATAATTAGTTTCCTAGTAATTCCAGAAGACTGGGATTGATGGCTGCATCAGATTGTGGGGGATGCAGGGTTTCCCCCAATAGATGAACACATCTCCTAATTAGCATTGCCCTCTAAACATGATACATTATTGCCATGGGGGTTGATCTTCTCCCTTTTCAAAGATAATTCCATTGTGATGCTCAGAATGAGCTAACATTAGGCTCTGCTGAATCACACTATTTCTTATTCACCATGACCTGCAAGTGGGAAAAGACCATTAGTCCAATAAACACTCCTGATGGCCACCCTATCCTGGGATTCAGGAGCCAGAGGTGCAACAGCAGGACCTAACCAGGGTTCTAAAAGCACCCAGGCAGACTGAAACAGCTCCTGAAAACACTCCAGTTGTGTCATTTCTCAGAGCCTCCTCATACATCTCACTACAGTCTGCTTAATTAAGGGCAATTTCCCTTAATATGAGAGCCAGTGTGGTGTAGCGGTTAAGAGCATGAGACTGGGACTCAGATGATCTGGGTTCTAGTTCCCGCTCAGTCATGGAGCCAACTGGGTGACTTTGGGCCAGTCACAGACTCTCAGCCCAACCTACCTCACAGGGTTGTTGTTGTGGGGATAAGATGGAGGAGGAGATGTAAGCTGCCTTGAGCCCTTTGTAGGAAAAAGGCAGGATATAAACTGAAAAATAAATAAATAAATAAATTTCCAGGGGGGCAAAGAAGGTCACTTGCCTTGTTCCTACTCAACAAGAGGGGAATCTAGGTTTTAGGTAAAGTTTGAAGTATTTTTTGTAAAGAAGACTCAAAATCAGACTGCTCTCTGTAGTCATAGTTGTTAGTGTGTTGCAATAGTAATTGTTGGGATGTGCCCAGCTGTGGAGGAAGGAACAATAGCCTCTATGGTGATATTACATGGTCTTGTGCACATAAAAGTTGGTTTACGATGAAACTGTCCTTCACCATGACCCTGACTCACTCACACAATTCCACGGGGCATCCAAATGACGATGCCTTTCTCTTGTAACCCACTCATGCTTTGCTACCACTTCTGTCTTTGTTCTTACTCCAAACATCTATTGATGAAAAAAGGAATAGCTGCACAATATCATAACAGAGTCCTCCTTCTGGAAGCACCATAAAACATATTTGGTATCTACACCATAAAGAGAGATCACAGCAAAGCAGGAATAGCTCTAGTAGCTCCACTGTCCCCCAGGCTTTCTAAAACTGAAATTCTTTTCCCACTGAGTATGA